CACAGAATAAAAAAAGATTCAGACTTGAGCCTGGACTTCAAAAATCTCTATTTTACATGTTGCAAGGCAAAGTGCAAACATTTCAGTACATGTTGAACTTTCCTTAGTGCAACTTTGAGAAATTCTATTAAGTACGATTTCAGTCAGACTAACATGTTTACGTGTATTTTAAAAGCAAGTTATTTTCTCTAATGTCATGTAAATGTACTGACTGGCTCTAGTTCGGGACATTTACATTCCCATTATTGGCCACCGTAGTTAGCAGCCCCTCTGTGACAAGCAGTTTCAGAAAAACACTATTTTTAATCTGAAACTACTTTATTGGGTGTTTTTACTGGTTTGAATCAACTGATCCATTTGTTTAGGAGAGGAAGAGAATAATTCAGCTCCCAGTGAAAACCTTCTGAACAATGAACACTGAAGGAATTCTAACCAGGAGCCCTACACACTGCTCCTTTATTATTTACACTTCATCTTAAACATTTTTTAAATTCCATATAACTTTTGTGTGTAAACTATTAATCTGTAATTTACAGCAAACCCACCTATCAGCCAAAAAGCCATCTGAATATACTGGAGAACAACCCACTTCCTCCATCTTCCTAGTAATACACCCACCACTACACCACTGCTTACAACTGCAACATGCATTTTTCTTTGAAGCATAGTGGAGTAGAAGTACAAGGGAGCACAAAATGGAGACACTCAAGTTTCAGGGCTATTTTTTGTCAGGTGCAGTGACTGTGTGCAGCTTTCAGGAGTGTTAAGGTCACAGTGGGATGCCAGATTTGGTGCCATCATGCCTGAACAGAGAAACATACCACACCCATTCTGTAGAGCTGGGACAAAACATGTCCTGCCAAAAAAAAAAAAAAACACCTAAAATTATAACTTATCAACACAGTAACTCTGTTTCTGGGACGAAACATTGTTTGTAAAGGATTTATTTATATGAAAAATATATGATTTCTAAAACATTTTGATCTGCTTTCATTTTTTTATTTGCCTGTGTCAGAAAAAGTCTCGTTCCAGACGAGAATACACAACTATTAAAAAATGTGTTTAAAGCCTCCAAAATCTAAAACTAACAGTGCCTACTGATAACTGTCAAAATGTACTGTTATTATCGTCTTTGTTTTAAAATACATTTTTTTAAAATAAAATGTTGGTTCTATAAAGTTGTGTCCCAGATGTTTGTCGAATCTGTCAGATTTCTACAAAGACGTCATTTAATCAGGCATTAAAGAGGTTAGCTACATCACAAGGACTCCTATCTCACTTCCTGGTTTCCAAAAAGACAGGAATGCTGCCGAAGTTCTGATATTTTTTCTGTTTTTTGATAAATTCATTAAAATAATATTGCTATCAGATGTGTCTCAACCATAAAAGGTCAACTCTGTAGCTTCTTAATCCAAACTAAATAAGAATTAGTATTTTGATCAGCATTAAGAGGACTCGCAAGTTTGAAAAATAAAATGGCTACTCCCTTCAAGTGCTGTAAAATTAACAAAACTTACCTTACCTCTGACATTCATCATGTATGCTTTTCCAAAAAAAGGCCCATTACAAGGTCTAATAGTCAAAGCTTTGATCTTTTAAAAGGTATTTTCCAGCCTATTTGAAGAGTAAAAATTTAAAACCCCCAAAACAAGGTTTTGTCCCAGCTCTGAAAAACAAGTGACCACTGTATCTGCTCACCACCACTGAAGCTGGAGTGTGCACCGAGGTACTGGGCTGCTGGATTAACTCATGTTCGTCACAAACACCTCCTGAAATCACTTCATGTTTCTACATTTTTGTTTGTGTACGGATTAAACCATCGTGTTACAGCCATTATTGTGCACTTGACACTGAAACAGGAACCTGTTCCTGTTTAAATCTGCACACATTCTGATGCTACCCATGACTGCTAATTTAGTCTCTTCACATTAAACCGTTGCTCAGAAAATAATTTGTCTCTTTGTGCACTTTCAGTCGTGAGTCCGGTTGAACCAGCGTAGAGCATAACATGTACAAATAAACCCTTTATATTTGTAAAGAGTTCTTTCTACAACCTAAAAGCATGAAAGACGTTCCTTCCAAATCCTCTCAGACCTCTGACTGTACCCTGTGAAGCTTCTGTGGCCATTGTGTTAATTAAACAAAACTATATGCTTAGGGACTGTTTGTTATTTATGAGGGGAGAGGGGGTGGTGATAAATGGGGGAGGCATGTTGAAAAAAATTAATTAAGTAATTAAGCACTGGAGAAGGACTTTTTTTTATTTTGGCTTAGGGGTGGGGCATTATAAATTAAATGGTTGTATTTTATATTTATTTTACAGACAATTTAAAAAAAAAATGCCTAAAAATGGAAGACATGTTTGTTAAAAATCAAACTTTTTTCAAATGGAGGACGTGTTTGCTAAAAAAAATTTTTTAAATGGAGGACAAGTTTGTTAAAACTGAATTTATCTTTTTTTTAATGGAAGAAATGTTTGTTAAAAATCAAACTTTTTTTAAATGGTAGACATGTTTGTTAAAATTGAATTTTTTTATGGAGGACATGTTTGTTAAAAAACAAACTTTTTTAAATGGAAGACGTTTCGTAAAAATCAAACTTTTTTTAATGGAAGAAATGTTTGTTAAAAATCAAACTTTTTTAAATGGAGGACATGTTTGTTAAAAAACAAACTTCTAAATGGAAGATGTTTCTTAAAAATCAAACTTTTTTAATGGAAGAATTGTTTGTTAAAAACTCAAACTTTTAAATGGAGGAAATGTTTGTTAAAAATCTAATTTTTTTAATGGGAGACATATTTGTTAAAAATCAAACTTTTTTTAAATGGAATATGTGAAATGATTTCTTTAAATGGAAGACGTTTCTTAAAAATCAGACTTTTTTAATACAAGAAATGTTTTTTTTAAATGGAAGATGTGTTTGTTAAAAAAATGGCATGCATATTTTCTTTAAAGTTTTCCAAAATTACACCATATATCATAAACAGCAGCTATTAAAACTGAAATTATCATTAGGTTTTCAAATATCTGGCAGTCCTTGGACACATTGTGTTCGACAAGCACTTCAGTCAGAAAAAAAATCTAACCAAATATGAGCTTAAAATGGTGATATCTCATCAAAATCACTTAATTTGAATATTTAGCCAAAAACGATTGCACAAACTAACCAGCATGCAGGAAAAAAAGGGGCTTTTTCCAAATCCAGGATTTCGTCCTTGACTTTTAACTTTCAAACATCAAAGGGTACGTTCTAAAAATCTCACTAATTTATGGAGGGAGGGTCATGCATTTTCCACCAGTCACTCAGGGAGGCTCAAGGAAAAAAACCTTTGTAGCTTCAGGGAGGGTCAAAATGAAATAACAAAAACAGTCACACCCCAGCCTCTCCCCTCCTCTGATAAATAAAGAACAGTCCCTTATATTAAACGTACCAATAATGCTGCATTTCAGCATCTATTCTAATTTGTTCCACAGTTTGTCGTCAACAGTGAACAGGCAGCGTGTGCATGCTGTTAGCACAGAATTTGAGGGGGAGGGTAGGATAAGCTGTGCAAGATGCTGAATGCTCAATGACCTTCCATTCGCCGGCCAATCAAACCTGGACATCGTGACAAAGACAGTATGAACGTGTGGTGAACGCTTCCTGCTCTCCAGCTCTGTAAAGACACCTGACAGCACCACTGGCTGCATGTGATCCATCCTGTCACCAACATATGCTCTCCATCCCCGCCGGAGCGCATCCTGACCCTCTGAGGTGTACACAGTGTGAGCCTATAGCAGCAATACAGGGGCCAAATCTGGCCCCTGACAGGGTGCTGGGTGCCCCCCCCCCCCAACCATGAAAATTAATTGATTCACACTGGGATATTTTTTGTACTTGTGGCAGGAGAGGATCCCACAGCTCAATGCTCCAAATGACCTAAATTCCTAGAGGCGCCCCTGCACACACCTGACCTGTGTGGGGCTGCTGCCTCCTGTCACTCAGCTAAAGTGGCCCCCAGCCACAGCAGCTTGAGTATCCCCAGCCTATAGGATCTATGTGCAAACCTGGCCAGTAAAAGTCATTTTCAGACATACATGCGAGCAGCAGTCCCCCTTGCCACTCAGTGCCCTAGATGAGTCCCTCCATCCTGTTTCTTCTCAGCACAGTTTCTGCACCTATTTTGGATTCAAAACCAGGCCAGACAGCAGAGCTCAGGGCAGAGCTCTCTCTGCCCGCAAACTTATCTCCAACACCAGATTCTGGAGTTTAATTCATTAAAATAATGCAGAATAAAAGACAAGCATCTCTTCTTAATCATCTGTGTGGATTCAGGTTGTTTAAATGCATCTTTCCTTAAATGGACACAGTGAGATTTAGACACTCATGCACAAAATGTCACGAAGTGGAATTATTCAGAGAAAAAGCATCATTTCAGTCCAACAATTCCGTCTGTGTGTCGGATTTTAAGAGTGTAACGATTGAGGCTAATAACGTAACCGGTGAGGTTATTTTTAGCCTGCATGAAGATGCGCTCAGCAGTGATGGCGATGGCTTCCTCCCCCTCCTACACCATCATGACGTCGTGCTGTTACGCAAAACCAGGGGTTCACCTTTTGCGGACCTCCAGCACTGTCACAGCTGGCATACATTGGTGTCATTATTAAAGATAGGCTACATAAATAAAAGGAAGCAGAACACAAGATACTGTGGCTTTATAAAACAGATCACACAGCAACACACCACAGCCCTGCAGCTTGTCACTTCTGCTTTATCTTTAATTCCTCATAATGTTTCAGCACTTGTCTAAACTTGGTGTTGGACACACCCAGCATGGCATGGAGCAGGTCGCTGGCATCCTGCGAGGCATCCCGGCTTATCTGATGTGCACCCAGCCGGGGTCAACACAGCTCCCGGTCCAAAACACGGACATTAAGCTGCTGCCGTGACCTTATCTAATACACTGACGTTACACACGCGGTCATTAACAACATGCCATGACACAAAAGTGGACACTTAACTATTTGTAGAGGTGCTGGAGACACAGGTCGAGGCATTCCCCCTCCACCTCTTCCTCAATCACCAGGTCCGACAAGGGGCGCATCGGCGGCGGGTCGCTCTCCTGCAGAGGCATTCTCATCTCCCGGAGAAAGAGCTCCAGGAACCGTCGGAAGGTTTTTTCCTCTGCTGTAGAGCCGGCCATCATCTCTCATTCCTGGACAGACAGAGACAGCTCCGCCCGTCAGTACTCGAACTTCCCGGGCTGACAAGAGAAGAGTCAGGACACTGAACCGAACTAGTTGGACTGTCAGTGCACGAGCGGACTACCTGAATGAGTGTGGACTACCGGAGGGAGCGGGGCGCGTGGAACCAACCGGCGCGTCTGAGAGCAGCGGACCTGACTGGCTGAGCGGGACCGTGGCGTCTCCGGTTATACTACTGGACTCGCTGTCACAAGCTGGACTGAGCCCCCCATTCAGAGCCGAGCGGGAGCGCGCATCGCGTTATCAGGGATTTCGGATGATCAGACGGCGGTGACGTCAGAGAGGGAACGCGGCGGTTTACATATGGGTCGTGGACGCGCACGTCGTCTGACGTCTGAGACCTTTTTGTAGACATGAGGGTGGCCTGTTTGGTCCTCATGACGTCAAACAGAAACTGTGTTGTATTATAAATCTTTTACTTTCACTAAAGTCAGTTTCATAAGGGACTGTTCGTTATTCATGAGGGGGAGGAGGGGGTGCAAGAAAGGGAAGGCATGTCAAATCATTTTTAAGCACTGGGCAGGTAGGCCTATATGTTTTTATTTAAGCTCAGGAAGGAGGCTTACACATTTAAATTGTTGTATTATGTATTTATTTTACCACCAATTTTAAAGGAGAACACAGATTTGGAAGCCATGTTTTCTTTAAAATAAAACAAGTTATACCATTTATCACAGCCGCAACTTTTCTTAAGATTTTCAATTTTCCGACAGTGCTGTGAAGGGACTGATGTTTTGGCTTGGGGAGGAGGCACACAAATTCAAAACAGTTGTATTTATTTTACTACCGATAATGAAAACGTGGGGTTGGAGGCCATGTTTTCTCTAAAAATTGCCAAAATTACGCCATTTATCACAGCCACTAACTCAAAAAAACAAGTTTTTGTTAGATTTTCAATTTTCCGACAGTGCTGCAAAGGGACCGATTATTTTATTTTTGCTGAGGGGAGGGGCTTACAAATTTAAATTGTTGTATTGTGTATTTATTTTACCACCAATTTTAAAGGCGAACACGGATGTGGGAGCCATGTTTTCTTTAAAATAAAACAAGTCATACCATTTATTACAGTCACAAACTGAAGAAAAAGAAATTAGTAAGATTTTCAATTTTCTGACGAAGCTCGGAAGGGACTCATGTTTTGGGATGGGGAGGAGGCATACAAATTTAAACTTGTATTTTTATTATTTCAACCACCAATTCTTAAAGAAAACGTGGGGTTGGTGGCTATGTTTTACCACAAGCCATTTATCACAGCCACAAACTCAAAAAACGAATTTTCATGGGTTTTCATTTTTCCGACGGTGCTGATATTTATTTATTTTATGGCTTGGGGAGTGTCATACAAATTAAATTGTTGTATTATGTATTTATTTTACCACCAATTTTAAAGGAGAACACAGATTTGGAAGCCATGTTTTCTTTAAAATAAAACAAGTTATACCATTTATCACAGTCACAAACTGAAAATTTAAAAAAAAAAAAAAAAAATCATTGGATTTTCAATTTCTGACAGTGCTGGAAAGGGACTGATATTTTTGGGGGTTGGGGAGGGGCGTACAAATTAAATTGTTGTATTATGTATTTATTTTACCACTGATAGTCAAAGAAAATGCGTGGTTGGAGGCCATGTTTTCTCTAAAAAAATGGCTGAAATTACAGCATTTATCACAGCTAGAACTGAAAAAAAAAAAAAAAAAATTGTTTGTTTTTCACTCTTCCGATGGTGCTGGGAAGGGACTGATGTTTTGTTTTGGCTTAGGGGAGGGGCAGACAAATTTAAATGGTTGTATTGTGTATTTATTTTACAGACCATTTTTTAAAGAAAATGCAGATTTGGAAGCCATATTTTGTTTAAAATTGCCAAAATTACACCATTTATCACAGCCATAAACTGAAAAAACAAAAATTAACATTGGATTTTCAGTTTTCTGACAGTGCTTGGACAAATCATGTGTGACAAACGCTTCTGTCAGAGAAAAGGCATAATCAAATCTAAGCTTAAAATAATGATATGTCATCAAAGTCACTTTATTCTATGTCTCATTTAAAATTTGGTAAAAAATAAACTGTTTTCATGAACCGTGTTTTTTTGTCAACTCCAGGATTTCACCTCCAATTTTAACTTTTAACTTTCAAACATCAAAGGGTAAGTTATTAAAATATAATATAACTATATAACAACTTTATGGTGGATGGAGGGTCATGCATTTTCCACCAGTCACTCCGAGGCTCAAGGAAAAATATGTGTAGCTTTGGGTAGGGTCCAAACAAGAAAAACAAAACAAAAAAGAAGACACACTCCGGCCACCCTGCCCCTCTGATAAATAACGAACTTTCCTTAACAGAAAAACTTAATTTAAATTGTATAAATGTACATAAGTTAAATCTCAACATAATTTTCCGTCTCCTCTCTCACATCTTTTAACCCTTTCCCATCAACATGGTGTCGTTCGTGTTTCCGTACCTAATTTTCAACCGCTTGGAGCATTTTGAAAATAAACTGGTTCTGAAGTGGCAAAGTTGGCTCTCAGCTGGAACCAAAACAGTACCATGTTTTTCTTGACCTAAAGTGAGCACTGTGACAACATCAGTGGGATTTAAGAAGAGATTTAAAAAGTAGCTGGTAGCAGTTAGCAACTAAGTCAAAGAAGAAGAAGAAGAAGATCAACAGCCAAAAATGTCCACAAATTGTGAAAACAATGAGGTCCGAGAGCTCCTTACTCTCCGAGCAGAGGACGAGATCAGCCGTCATATAACGGGGATGGGAAATGATAATAGCATAAACGGGACAGGTAGCAGGATGGGATCATGGGCGGCACGGGTGTGACAGGCTGACACTGTTGTGTTACATGTCACGCCCATCACACCTCTTTTGATTTTGGGATGCCGCTATGATGTCTAAAATCTTACAATGAAGCAGAATGATGCTATTATTATTTGGTTCTTTGTACAAATACAAAGGACGCATAAAAAAAAGAGACTTCCTTGCAGCCCTATAGCGCGATCTCTGTGTGAAAAGGGCTGTTGTCCTACATCCTGTGTAAAACCAAAAGTCATCACTTGACGACACTCATGAGACGTAACAAACATTCTTATTTAACCCCAAATAATGCCCTTTTTTCTAAACCTAACCAAATTGTTTTGTTGCCTAAACCTAACTGCGCCCTTTCCACAACACGAACCATGCGTTCCCCGTGGCCACTTGCAGTATTGCAGTGAAAAAAGAGAGCATTTTCCTCATAGACCACCTTTGTAAAAGAAGGCCAGACAACTTGGTTGGCGTACGTGCCAGGCGAGCAGCTCCACTGGACTGAATAGGCGCCATCTTGAGGACTGGTATCTAGTTATTATTCAAATCTATGGGCTTTCCTGCGGGCCTGGTGTTGAATGTGTCTTCTGTCTTCCTGGTGGGGGGGGGGGGTCGAAAGCCCAGTTCGGACCAAAGATTGATGACGAGATGAAAGTGTTTTAGAACGTTGCAGAGACAAGTTGCAGCGGTATGAACTGACCGATCTGAACTTGACTCAAGCTGGCTGATGGTGTCACCTGACACTCAGCTGGTCAAATCCCCGGTATCACCTGTTTCAACAGCCAGTCAGCTTGTAGTGAAGTCTGCTGGTCAAGTGAAAATTACCACAGACGGCGTGTTGGCTTGCTGCAGCAGGTGCTCCGTCCCCACCGAGCCCTCTGTTTTCGTCCTCATGGTTTGCCGATGTCATACGCTGGGTCACTGCTGCTGCTGGCTGTATGTGCCTAGGCCCCACCCACAGACACACATTCTCATTGACTGATGAATTGGCGCTGGTTACTAATATTAGGGTTAGGATTAGGATGTTGTGAATGTTGTTATGAATACAGTCTGATGCTGGTTTTGTTTCATCACTGTAGCCAGTATCTCACTATCACTATCCTCATTCAGATTTTAAGAAGCTACAAATTATATTCAGCCACAAAATAAGTCTGAAAAGCTGCAAATCAGAACGGAAGTACAGAGAGTTGTTGACTAGAGATGATACGCCGTCTCATCGTGGTCACTTCCTGTCAATGTTACAGATCAGACGTACAGAGAGTTGTTGACTAGAGATGACACACCGTCTCATCGTGGTCACTTCCTGTCAATGTTACAGATCAGAAGTACAGAGAGTTGTTGACTAGAGATGATATAGCGTCTCATCATGGTCACTTCCTGTGAACCAGCAGGTTTTTGCAACGTTGCAGAAGGGCACATTGCAAGTAGTTGCCTGTTTCAGCTGGGCTTAACTGAGCATGTGCAATATGAGTGTCATCACTTGAGCATGTTTTTTTTCTTATTTCTACAATATTTTGTTTAAATTTTCATGCTGTAATACAGCTTTTTACATTTATATAACACATAATGTAACATAAAACTGCTTCCTTAATACAGAACAAAGATAGAGTGAGAAAAAAAGAAGACAAAAAAAAAACACATGAACTAACAAAAATGTTCCTCCTATGTTAATAAATGGTCATCTACAAAAAATGAAGTATAGTAAATGCATTAAATCCAAAAGGTAACCAGTATTTGTAAGATGGGGTACACATTCAAACACTCAGGATCAAGGGAGCCATTTCAACATGTTATTGCAGACACAGGGTCATTGAACAGTTCTGTGGTGGTTGTCGGATGATTTCTTTTTTCTATAATAAGGAATATTAAAAGAAAATGTTACCGCTCTGCATATTGTTCAACAGTAATAATAATGAAAATAATATTAGTAAATTAGATATCATTTATTAAATGCATTCATTAATGCAACCATTATGGTATTACTCTTTTTCTTCATCTAACCACAGTTTAAACTCAGGAATCTTAAAACAACAACACAAAACAATCTGTTAACTTTAACCTCGAGAGACCTGAACTGTAATTAGCTATTAAGCTAGCTATTTGGTCTCAGTAGGACCTGATAAGTATGAAAAAACTAAACACTGTCAAGTCCCAAAATCCTCAAACGAGATGATAATAGTCCCAATGTCTTTGAACTAGTATTTTTTAATTAAAAATGTCTTAGCTTGTTACCTTTGCTAAAATGTTTGTATGGCAAAAAAGTACAAAAAAGTTTGTACGGCATATCAAACTACAAATGCTTTAAATCATAAATAAACACGTTTCAACCATTAAATTTAATCAGGTTTTGTCCACTTTTGTGTCAGGATCGGCTGCAGACTGGCCTGGCAGAGACGGCTGCCATCTTGTTTTTACATTGTTACTATGTATTTTTACATCTTCACTGACCAATGGATACTAGGTCAAAGAACCCCTGAGGATCATGTTCCGCCAGGACAGCTACAAGTTAGACTAATTTTAGTTGGCCGAAGGCCAAGTTAAATTTGGCAAAGCACCATGTAGGTAACAGCACACATGCTACTATCTTAATATATAAGCTTTGTCTCTCTCTGTTTATGTATCACACATAGCTTCTGCATGTAGCCAATGCTGATCCGAGCTTGTAATAAATGTGCATTAAGAAAGAACGTGATTGGCCTCATCCTTGCATTCTCCAGATCATCACAGAAACACCTACTCTCATACATGGATTTGTGTATTGTGCTCTTAGTACCACTAGATGGCACAAAAAAGTGTCCACAAACGAGGACAACAGGTACTGAGTTAAGCAGAATGAA